TCAATACCAATCCCTACGTGTTCCCCTACATACCCCTCCCCTCCTACGCACCATATCAACCACTATATAAACCCCATCCACTCATCCCCGACACTTCCGTTCCGCCTTTCCGGATCACTCCCTTCTCCCAAAACCCCTCAACCCCATCCACCTCATCTCCTCGCCAACAGTTCCAGCTTCTTCAGTCCTTTCACTTCCATTCCCTCCCACCTGCTATCTCCCCTCATCCACGTGCCCCATATGCACAAGCCTTCCATAATTAACCACATCCAAGATAACGTCAACCCACCCTCCAGTCCGATGACGGCCACAACCGATACTACTCGCTCCCCACACATGGCAATCCCTCCTGCGCAAGCCCTGGAAGATCTCCACTTCAACCTCGCACAAGAAATTACAAGGGAAATGAACAGAGAGATGACTTGCAGCTTCTCTCCGGCCTCCTCTTCCACCCCGCCCCCGCGTCCGCTCATCGACAAAAGCCCACGCTCCAACACCATTCAAACGTTTCATATGAAGAGTCCTCAGAAGAACCATGCCGCAGGCATCACAAAGTCCTCAAGCCCCACCAAGGCTCATACTCGTGCTCCGATTGTCAAGCCCACCCCCGCGGAAGAAGAACTCGTCCACCGCATTCACCGAAAAGTTGGTGGTCCGTCCAAGCTTAGCACGTACGACGACCCTGCAAAGGTCCGTCATGTCGTCATCGAAGCACTAGCTACCGAACAGCTAAATGCATGTGATGCTACTCGTATTCGTAAAGGCCAGCTTTCTGTCTTCGAAAGAAGAGTCGTTCGAACCGTGACCAACCGAGGAGCTGCTGTGCGATCTAGAATGAGACAAAGAAAAGAAGTCGCCCATCTCAAGCATGAGTTGCAAATTCGGGATACCCGAGTGCGCTACTTAGAGAACGTTGTGCGTGTCCTGTGTCTGAGGTACTCTGTGCCACTTCCCGAGGCGCTCGTGGCTGCACCAGTTCAAGTTCAGGACAGACAAGATGCAGTACCACCAAAAGTGGTGGAAATGCAGCCGGCAATTGACACTTCCAAACCAGGGAAGCCACCAGTGATGAAATTGGAGGGCATTGATGCGCCCGATTATGCTTTGAACCAAGATCTATTTGGTGCTCTTGTGGATCAAATGATCACACATCCGCCGTGGTGCTGAGCTGAGCTGAGCTGAGCTATGAAGGCGATATAGTGAGGATATTCGCTTGTTCTATAGAACAAAGTAGATAGCATTGGAGAGACTATGCAAAGACTTACTGTACATTACAATATATCCACTAAACAGACATCAATTTCCGAAGAAGTTGCGCCCATATTATGAGGATAAACAGCTCGTCGGCATCTTCTGGAGCGCACCAGAGTATGATCGTCAATCATGGATTTTCCGTAAGTGTGTGGTGTAGTGGGGATGGAAGAGCTGGTGCGATGTTTTGCGTAGTGCTGGTTCATTCCGAAACAGCTGCAAGTACTGCAGGAGTCTGATTAAAGCTAAGGTAAGGATTTTACGTGCTGCAGCATTTCTGGTATTCGCATGCCACTCCAAATACTGTACGGTACAGTTCTTGCTGAGCTTTGTCAAAATATAAATTGTCCATAGCTGTGGGTATCACATTCCAACGTGATTTCATGTTCAAACAAGGGAGAGGGGGAAGACGGGAAAAGAAAAATGTGATTCTCGAGTGGTGGCGGCGAGAGTCTCCGCGTTCCATTGGATCACTTGGCGTGTCTCGCTCGAAGAAGAGAGCATGCGTGTTTGGAACAACAAAGATAAAGTTTTCAACGTTAACAATTTCTGCGAGTTTCAAGGAGCGCAGCAAATTACATTTCTTCTCGTAAATGCATCTGGAGGCGGTTTGCATTGAGTCTAGGGGTCCATGCGAAAAAAGGCAATGAAGCAAGATGGAGTTGTGACGCTGAAGCTGAGGGGGTAGGGGTGGCTTGTATTGCATGAGATGCGCATCGTAGGGTATCGTAGGGTATGGAGGATATGGAGACAAGCGGCAGTTGACTAGATGCAGCGGTTTATCGTATTGTGTCTAAGCGGGAAGAACGTATAGTGATTTGATGCGGCGAGAGTTTTATCCACCCTGGTTGAGTCAATGAATGCCCCAGAGGCTCGGTCACTGCAGAACAAGGGAAGGAGTTGGGACGAGCGCAGACACGCGACAGGCATGGAGACATGTTCACTGAAACAGAAACCGGAGTCCGAGGTATAAGGGAAGCAAAGCAAGATCAGTCAGGCCGGTGACAAAGAGCAATCAGCTTGCAGCTTGCGGTATGAATCCAGTTTTAGTTTTCTTGAAATATTTTGCTGGTTTATGTCCCACACAAAATTTCCCGCCCTTCGACACCTCCCGAGGCTCCTTCCTCTGAGGTGCACAGTAGAGATGTAATTAGTTGGATCTCAAGTCGTGCAGATCGCCAGCCTGTCTACGTTTATCTCCTTCTCGTCCTAACCACAGCCTTCCTCTGCCTCCCTTGCTTCTCTACCCCGGTGAGAGTCGAGAGGGCTCTTCGTCACACGGCTGTATCCTTTAATGCAGAAAGACCCTTGCAAATCCCATTCCCTCCACCTATGCCTTCCCGCCTCTTTTGCAGAGGAACGGATCTCCCCTCGTGTCATTCCCCTACCTGTCTTTCATCAATGTCCCCCCGGCATAGACGCACCGGCAAAACCATCACGACCACCCCCACCTTTCAAACCTCCTGTCTCATCCCTCTCCGTCCCTGCCCCCCAAGCTTGACGTGCCACGTGCCACCGCGATTGCCATGCTTTCGGACAAGGGCGTATCCCCACGTCACTCGTTGTGGCATTCAGCGACCTGAGCGATATGATGCCACCGACTGGGCAAAAGCCCTTAGCACCCTACCTCGCTCAATCGTCTTGCGTCGCGTTCGTGGTCACATCATCGCTAACTCAGTTGCATCATCCCTTGTCCTCGTCGCCTACGAATTCCTTTTGCGTAACGCCCCCGATTTCGTGCATCACCTCAACGTAACCCCTATTCCACATACGTTTATGGTCAACGCCATGTCGTTGTTGTTGGTCTTCCGCTCGAATGCCGCCTACGTAAGTTGCTGGCAAGCTGGCACCGTTTTCTAATTTCGTCATCTAACGATCTCGCCGCTAATATACGATACGTTTACTTTGTCTCCTTTCGTCATTTCCCCGCTGCATAATGCATGTTTGGATACGTTGCCACTCCCCGCGTCAGACCGCAGGACCGATTTTGGGAGGGCCGCAAACTGTGGGGCAACTTACTTAACACATCCCGTACTATGGCGCGAATATGCACTTTGGCGATGCCCAAGACGCATGTCGACGTTGCCGCCAGACTAATTACATGCTTCAGTTTTGCTCTCATGCACCATCTCCAAGGGCGACGAGAAGACGAGCCGTTTAAAGAAATATGCGGCGAGATGCTCATTCCACTCGAGTTGCTAGACGACGTGGGGCCAGCTGCCATGCGGACAAGCGCTTACACATTTGGTCAGGAAGTTGCGGCTCTGCAACCAACGCTAGTGAGAGATATGGATGCCGAGAGGATAGAAAGCGGTTTGGAAGAGCCCGATTGGTACAAATGTAGAACTAGATTCCCCCCCGGGAACGTGCTAGTTCAACGTATCAATGCGGCAGAGAACAAACCTCTTGAGGTTCTCCTTCATTTATCGACTCTTGTCAAAGTCTCGTTAGAGTGGAAACAATTGACGTTGTACAGGTCAGGTCACGCAGAAGCGTTTCCGTGCAGCACGAACGTTGAGCGAGACAAGCTTGAGAGTTGCACGTTTGAACTTATGGACATTATGGGCAAGTGCGAACGTCTCGTGAAAAGCCCGATACCGTTGTCGTGGAATCGGCACACATCACGTCTCATCTCGTTGTGGACGCTGACTCTGCCGCTTGTGCTGGTGCCAATTCAGGGTCCGCTCTGTGTACCGACGGTGGCGGTGATGAGCTGGGTATTGTTTTCAATCGAGGAGATTGGTCATCTTCTTGAAGACCCATTCAGGATGGAGCGGTATTCGTTGCAACTTGACGTTGTTTGTGAAACGGTTCGGAAGGATGTGTTGGTGCAAATTTCAACAACATCCAAATCATGAAGGCCCTGCTAAGGGCTTGGCATGGCGCTCACTGTCGGTGATTGCTATTGTGAAATTGACTCATGAGGGTGGTTCTTAGATGATTAACTAAGGAAAAATCTACTGCATCTTCGATAGAAGCATGCTTCGATAAATATGTAAATAAGGGGCGAGTGGGCTTCAACAGTGGGGGCCTTGCCCTCGTTTCGCGAGATGCCGTGTAAGGCAGAATGAAGTACAGTACTGTACAGGGCGCCCAGTCGATTTTACCCGGCCCCGTTCGTTCCATGTCTTTTCTAGATACATATGACTGGTATCGTTCCATTGCACGTTGCAGCTAGTCGAGGTGTTGGTAATAACGTTATGAAAAGGGTGCCTGACAGAAGCTTTCGACCATTGTACGGAACGCTCCCATGACCTTCTGCCGAAGTTTGTTGATGGTAGAGTGCAACACTCTAAATCAATTTACCATCAACAAACTACCTTAGTTCAGTTGGCGAGTGATGCACCACTCGTCAAGTGGGCTAAGGAAAGCAACCTACAACTCGATCTAGTTTTCAGAATCTATCCTCCTGCACTGTTGCGGGTAGCAAGGTTTAGCATGATCTCGCGTCTCAAGCCAGATTAGTATGCTTGAGATGGCCTCTTTAATATTGTGTTAAAAGACAATATCCAACAGCGCTGGGGAACATGAACAACTACTGTACGGACACTGCGAGTCATCCTCGTTGCCTTGTCGATCTCCGAAACCTCGATGAGTTTGAAAACGGCTTTCAGGCAGATATAGGCCGTTCATGTGCACAACAGACACGGCACCGGAACAGAAGGGATGCATGTAGGATTGAAATCAGGCACAGTCTCTTTGCAAAGAATAGTGCGAAAGGACGCACATGCCTCAGACTTGATGCGAATGGCACCAACAAAGAGTCGAAAGCGTGATGTTGGTGAAACGCTGATGCTGTACGGAAGTTACAAAAGCGGAGGGACATTTCCTGTCACGATCTGTCAGCGTGTTGCTGTGCGCTGTAGTGTACCTACTGTACAGCAAAGTATCATACAACGCGCATGTATCTATAGTAAGCATCTGAGGTCGAAGTATAAGTATAAGTATAAGAGCAGAAGAGACGCGTGCCGTGCAGAACGCAGCTCAGCACGAGATGACGTAGCAGAGGCGTTGCCGAAGGCCCAATTTCTGCGTGCCGAAAGCGGCGCACACAGGGGGGGTTCCCGCCGTTCGTCGGGCGGCGACAGGTGTCAAGGGAGGGGGCGCGGCAGTGGGGAGGCAGCGGAGGGGTGCATGGTCACGGGCGCGAAAATGCGGGAAGATGCCGGCCGGTTGCGGCGGGAGCGCTGCTGCAGATTGGCATCTCAGCCCGCGCGGGCGCTGCGCGGGCTTGCGTGAGAGCCGGGGTCGTGTGCGTGGGAGCAGTGACGGTACACGGAGGGGAGGAGGGGAGGAGGGAAAGAGAAAGCAAAGGTGAGAGAACGCGGGAATGGTCCGGTGCCCGTACAGTACGTTTGGGGAGCTGTTCGGGGAAACGCAGGGTTGAATCAGAGAACAAACAGCAAGGTGCACTGGGCGAATTTAAAAATAGGTCAGCTGCACACCAGCTCCAACACAAACACAGGCCGCAGAAGATCACGATATTGCGCTCCATTGCACACCCATTGGATCATTGATCTAGAAAAAAAATCTCGCTCTGAATAGTGGGTTTACACAAGCAGAATTCTGCAATGATTTTTTCAAAATTCTGCAATACGTATGACAGGTGTAAAAAGATACAGAATTCTGCAATGAAGCTGTGACGAATATTGCCGAAAAGTGCGCACAGTTAGAGAAAACCTGTGAGAAACAATTGTGAGAAATTCGGAGACAGTTGTCCTACATGAGCGCGCCAAATAGTACTAGTATGCCATAATCCCTGGAACTCATGCTCTCTTACTCCCATCCTCATTATGGCCGAGGTCATATCTGTCGACGCCCCTTCCCCTTCCGACTCTCCCGCGACAAGGACCGGGCGGCATTCTCGTTTTACCCCCGAAGAAGATCTTGTGCTCCTACGCGAGGTCTCTGCAGCAAACGCTCATGTTGCAGCGTTTGGTGAGAACGGTAAGAGATATGGCGAAGCTGCGAGCAATTTCAACGCTAATCCCTCCGTTGCCCAGACGATGACTTGGAAAAGCGTGCGCGACCGTTACAAGCGACTGCAAGAGGAGTTCGACAAGAACGACAACGCGAACCAACGTCTTTCCGGGGTAGATTGGGGGATGGAGGAACTACTGATGGCAATGCGAGAGGCACGCAATGACGTGGCTGTACAGAAGACTGCCAAGAAGAGCGCGCAGCAGGAGACGGGTCGCGAGAAGGAAATGATTGGCCAAGCCCTGGTAGAGATGTCTCTTAAGCGAAGGACTGTTGACGATACCAGCGAGGAATCGATCGAGGAAGTCCCAGCGAGCGCGAAGAAGACTAAGCGCCTGAAACGAATGGAGTCTGGTGGCGAGATGGAGCGCTTCGGAGCGCACCTGCGCGACGCGGACCTCGCGCGCATTGATTTAGAGCGGGAAAAGTTGGCATTCGAACGGGAGCTCAGCGAGGCTGATCGCGCTGAGCGCGAACGCGAGCGGGAGGGGCGACGCGAGGAGCGCGAGAAGATTCAGGAGCTAGAGTTGGCTAAATATACACTCCTGACAGAGGCTCTTAATAGAAAGTAAAGAAAGGGCTTCTAAGCCGCTTTCAAATGTTGTTTACTAAAGAAAAATGACTTTTACCTACTTTGTCTGCCAGGTTTCCGCTCGCGCGGGGCGGACGAGGAGCGAGACCACCCAGTCTAATCCTTATGAGATTGGTAGTATTCCAGAGTCGGTGGCGTGCAATTGAAGTACGCAGCTACCTGGTTTCGATAGATGCAATTGCGCATATTACTGAGAAGCATCGCCGCCAGGTAAAGGGACCCAACCGGAGACTCTAACACCTTCATCTTTCGCTTGAAGTCCACCGTCGTAAAGTAGAGCTTGACCTCTTTGAATATCCGCTCTACAGTTATGCGAATAGAACACATAGCCTTGTTGAATGCGACTTGCTGCGCCGATAAATTGCTTCCCTGAAACGGAATTTCTATGAACCACCCACGATTGTATCCTGAATCTCCGAAGATACAGTACCTCTTTCCCCCTACATCGAGTACCTCAGGTAGATGCGTGTCAAGCCCACTTCTCGTGTACAGCGTCCAATCGTGGCGTCTACCTTCTACGGGACCATTGACATGCATTATGAGTCCATCAGGACTGTTTACAGCCTGAAACTTGAGAGCATGCTTTCGTTTGTGCCCATTGTGCGCAATGCGTTGCGTGGCATATCCCTTTGGTCTTGCAATGCCAATCACCGTGCCGTATATGGAACCGACACCAGTTGGCGAGGGCTCGACACTTGTCCTGAACTGCCGTGGCATACCGTTCCGCATTTAGATGCATGTACTGTGGGCTTATGGGTCCTTTTATGAGGTCGAGTCTTGCTTCCAACATATGCTCTAGGGCCTCCCAAAATATCTCTGACATCTGCGACGCGTGCTTCCCAAACAGAATCTCGAGGTCTTTCCACCTGGCTGGTGACGCGACACGTCTCAATATGACACAGGTCGCTACTAGAGGTGTGACGCTGAATCTGTTTCGCTTGGTCGTTCGCTTTTGTCTGGGCCAAGAAACTGCGCTTATCATTCTAATGATATCTTGCTTACGGAATCTGAAATGTAGCAGTGCGTCCCCGTCCGTTATACCGTTTAAGTTGAAACTAAACGCGCTTGAACTGATACGTCTTCTTCTCGCAAGCAACAGCTCGACTTCCTTCTTCTCTCTCCATGTAGTGTAGGCAACTCGCATTAATGAATTTGTAGACGTGAAAGCAGATTCGTTCTGCATCATTCGTCGCCTACCAATTGCTAGAAAAACAGCATTCCATTGCGATGCTCGACGCTCGGTAGACTCCACAGTATGATCGCGCTGGCGTCCCTTGTCATGTTGTTCGGAATTTGGCGAAAGGGGAGGACTACTACTCAAAGGGTCAGACATAATACTCACAACTGGTTCGCACGAACTGTACCGTAAACGGCTTTAAATGTTTCTGCAATGATTTTTCAGGAATATGATTTCTGCATTGCTGTTTTTCTATTTCTCATTTTTAGTTACAGAATTCTGCTGTGCGTAAACCCACAAATATGGCAAAAAACTTATGAAGCTCCTATACAGTGGTGGCAAAAAATATAGCACATGTTGGGTTTGTGAATGTCCAGCTAGAAGTATATCTTTATATTCGAAAAGGGCTGCAGCACTGCTGGCACAAGCGACGCTGACACCAATCCCGCTTTCCGTTTTGCAAAAGCTTTAATATATTCTGCTTTATGATAGAAAACGTGCAGAACCCCCGGCAAAAAGATAGAAACACTATGAAAGAATGCTAAATGTGACGCTCGCAGAGACAAAACCGTTGACTTTTAGTAGTCTATCTTTTTGCCCCTAGCTTGTACGACGTCTATGCAGCGATTCTGCGTCGAGTTGACCAAGTTTTCCAACGTTTCAGTTGATAAATTGTTCCAAGCTGCGACGATACAGTCCACGAGAGAGTTACTGTCCCCAAACTGCCGTTGATTGGCATAAACCTTTCTGACCAGTATCCCCCACAGATTCTCGATAGGGTTGAGGTCCGGAGAATACGCAGGCCAGTCAAGAACGTTTATAAAATTGTCTCTGAGCCAAGCTTTTGCCACCGACGACCGGTGGCAAGGCGCTCCATCTGGCATAAATGTCCAATTAAGGGGATGGTCGTGCGCAAAAGGAAGAAAATGCTCTCGTAATCTGTCGACATACTTGATGCCGTTCTGAGTGCCACTCAGTATCACTAGAGATGACGTTCTCTGGGCTGCAAAACAACCCCAAACCATGACGATGCCTCCTCCGCTGTGGCGCTTCGAAAACCACTGCTTCTTTCTCCGCAAATCATGCCATTTGTACGCCAGCCCGTCACGTCCGTCCAAATTAAATTTCTTTTCATCGAACCACACGATCCATTCCCACTGAGAGCGCGTCCAAGTCATCTTCTCCATAGACCATGTTAGGGGTTGTTTTTCATGGCGTTCTCGCATCGCTGGGGTTCTTTGCAGGCGATTGTACCGCAGATGCGAGGTGTTCTGCAACAATTGGCGGACCCTACGGGCTTTGACTGGGACTTTTAGAGCCTTGACGATACCAGCTGAGCTTAAATTTCCTTGTGACGCCGCACGAATTATTCTTCTTTCACAAGAGTCAGTTAATTTCCGGGGTCTTCCCGGACTTTTCTAGGTGCCGTACCGTGCTCCCTGCTTCAGAAAAGTATGTACTACCTTCCTAGAACGGTCCAGCTCCCTGTAGATTGCTGCAACTGACCAGCAGTTTGAATAGCGAGCCAAAATTTGTCCCTTCTCAAAGTCTGTGAGACTTTTCTTGCGAGCCATGCTAGAGTTCAAACTGCTTCTCAGTTCTTTGGGAATTTAACACTGTGGCTTGCGCCTCTTTATAAGCATTACATAGGTTGAGTGTCGCGGGAATCGTGGGAACAGTTTCTGCTTTGTGGGGGTTTGACTTTAAGCGTTACTATCATTTTTGCCGGGGGTTCTACACGTTTTCTATCATAACGCAGAATATATTAAAGCTTTTGCAAAACGGACAGCGGGATTGGTGTCAGCGTTGCTTGTGCCAGCAGTGCTACGGCCCTTTTCGAGCACAAAGATTTACTTCAAGCTCGACAAACACAAACCCAACAAGTGCTATATTTTTGGCCACCACTGCATTGGGCGTCTCCGGAAATCACATTTTTACAACGGTCGCATATCCAAAAATTAATACAGGGGGGGTCTCGCCAATAGTTCGCCTTACAATAGGGCACATGGCCAAAAGTGCACCCCTTTCAGCGATGTCACAACTCTTGCCACATGTACACCTGTGCACGTGGAGCCATGCCTATGTAGATGCACACCGCTGTGCTGCGGTTGACAACCACGACCGGACACCCCGACCACCGATGGCGACCACCGCGACCACTGACCTATCACCAACAAGCGCGCAAGAAGCGACGTCAAATGCTGAGTGCTCGGAGCATTTTGTGGCCGGTGGGCTGTGACCTGTGGAAGGACCTTTATTAGTTCGCGCTGTCAGTAGTGCGTATCTATAGCTGATGGCACGAGGGTGCACTATTGAGGGGCATCTACTGTACTAGATCTGGTGACATGACTCCGGAAACCCTATTTCGCGAATCTACGTTCACCCTCATACTCGACCATCAAGTACGAGCTTGATCGTGCTCAGCACACAATAACGATATCGACAACTACACTTCTGCTTTTACAGATTTTCAGAGCAAGAGCTCAAGCACGTCTCACCTTTCGGCGGCGCATATCTGCCGAAGCGCGCAGGAGGCGGCGGGATAGGCGAATCCCACAAAGGGCTCTACAAAACCCAGCACGATCTACATTCGCGGTTCTCTTTGGGTCTGTATGTGACCAATTCCTTATCACCGTAACAAGATTTGACCACAGGGGATTCTTCTATTTGCAAGAGAGCTTTGAAGTGCTTTATCACGAGTACACTCCGTATTCACGAGATGGGTGTATCCGACCGATTGAGTCGCAGGGTGTCGGCGGGAGGCCTGGCAGTTTGACTGCGTCACAGTGCCTCTGTCTCGTTTTGACCTGTTATAGAACGAGGGGTGCTGAATACGTCCTCTCTCTGATGTTTGGGATAACAGCTTCCGTATGTTCGCTATTTCTTCGCTTCGGGCGGCGCCTTCTGGTCAAAGCGCTTAAAAGGGACGCATTGCCACGAGTAGGCATGCCTACACAAGAAGAACTATCTCAATATTCAGATTCTTTCGCCGATAAGTACTCGATGGTAAACATGTGTACTGTGTAGCAGATGGTCTAAAGTTGTATTTGGAGCAATCTGGAGACTCTACGATCCAGAATATGTTTTCTAACCGATGGACGCACTATAATTACGTTTGAAACGTATGTGTATTCGCGCCTGGTGGTTTAGTTATCACATGTGCCATTCGCGCCTGGTGTTTTATTTATCACATGTGCCATAAATGCCCCGGGGGGAATTCACGATTCAATAATCGCAGAATGGGGCGGTGTGTATGAGAAGTTAAAGTATCATTATGACGAACATGGGGGACAATGTGTCGTTGACTCTGCCTTTTCAAAGGGACAGTACCCATTTCTAATCAAATCATCACAAGACTGTGTGGTGGGCAGTGATGTAACAGCAGCATCTTTGGAAACATTGCGACAAGCAGCGTTTGCTCGACAGGCCTCCGAGTGGGGTATGCGAGCATTTCAGGGATCATTTCCGTGCCCGAAAGACAGGTTCAACTTCGAGGAAATGGGTGAGAGAAAGCTTGTGTTGACCTCCGTTACATTGCTATTTAATTTGAGGTGTCGCTTAGTAAGAATTAATCAAATCCTTCATACCTACATGCCCCACATGAGTGTGGAGGCCAACCATTTCTTGCTTTAGTACACTCGACTTTCTGTTCTCCCTCCATTATATCCTTGGCTGCATCTACGCCGCGTTTACCCATTCCCCCATTCATCAAAAGTTGCATCATTCTGTCGGTTCTGCGGCGATCATCCTCCCTTCTCTCTCGCTCTTAAGCCCTTTCTTCCTCTCGTAACCTACGAGCTTCCTCTCGCCTTTTACTCTCATCCTCACGATCTATTAAACCAGTCTATGATCCTCGTCACGTCTTATTTGCTCTTGTAGCATTGACAATTTCAGGGAACTATAAATATTGTAATCCTCACTAACTGTCTTCTGGTTGTATGTACTCTTCTTCCTTACCAGCGGCCTCGGTGAAATGTAAGGGTTACTGGTGGGAGGATCTGTAGTCGAACCCCTCTGATTTTCTTGAATGAGAAGTGCTCCTGAGCCCGTTTCATCCACGGACCTAGACTGTGACCGGGACTGTAGTAGAGCCGTCTCATCATTGATTTTGTCTGTGTATCCGTCTTCCGACTCCCCAGCGTCTCCGATGTCAGCACGTTCCGTCATTTCTTCCCTAATTGCGTTCGCTTTCAAAACCTCTGGTGGTATCGAAGGGTCTCCAGTCGGTACAGTAGTGCGGCAGAGAGCAGAAACTTTTCCCCAGAAGGAATCTGAGTTTCTACGCTGATATGGGTATCGTGTCTCATGAAGACGAGCAACCTTATCCCACTCATCTTTGCCAAGCGGAAGGTGGTCCTGCAGTAACACAAGCAAGTTCTACGTTTCCCCTTGACGAAATCCATTTCGTCTACGATTCGATTTAACATTCTTGCGCTTCGAAATAGGTGCTTTTGGAGGTAGAGCATGCAACGCATTATGTGCACCTTGCGCTTCCCTGGCCCTGGCCATTACATGCGTCGGAGTCAGAGTGGGGGTACGTGACGGCAGAACCAGGCAATCAGGAATTGCAGGAGTTTCCAACAGAGACGGAGAACGAGAGAGAGCGATCCTGTGCTGATGCTAGCGTTTTCTCGACGGGTAGAGGCGTGTTTGGAATGACACGGGGGCTTTTACAACGTCAAAGGGTGAGATTCGGGCTACAGGTGACACAGAATCATGATCGTCCATGTCAGTGGTATCAGGGATAGAGCTGATGTTGAAGGGGGAACAGGCGTGGTCTAAGGAGGCTGATCAGGTTGTCAGGAAGAGGTACTTTGTTCGGTAAAGGGCGAAGCAGCCAAAAAATGCCCACAATTTGCGATTTAATACGCAGTGGTCGTTGCTTCCAGGTGGTGAGGCCACGGAAGAAACGTTGATTTGCGCGGTAGCAAATGGTGCCAATGGAGTGTCCTTATCACAGATTGTGACGTAGCAAATCGTGATTTGTGATTTCCGGAGGCGCCCATTGTTTAATGGTTAAAGGCCGCGGCACACATTCACTGTGGCAAAACCGCGCCTCCCAGCTATTACACTTTAAAGCTGATCAGATAACTTGTGTCGTTGAACTTGGTAACTTCGCGATGGCAACGCGGAGGAGTGCAACCTACGCCGAGAATCGCTGACAAGAGGGTTACTAGGTTCGCTGTAGGATAGGGATAAAGGTAGGAGTTATGCTAGGTGAGGATTGATGGATGGGTAAAGCGATTTACTGAGGATGGGGCCCAGGGCGGCGACCTAGGCAGTGCGGCGGGCGGTTATTTCAACGCAGCGTAATACTTCTCCGGGTGAGTTCTTGTGTCTTCCGTCTGCAAGGTGACGAAACGGAAGCGGATATTTCCGCATGAAACTTGTCAATATTGGTGAGGGGAAATATTTCTGTCACCCACCTAGATCACACCTACGTCCCCAAATCGCCCCTCGGAATTCAAAATCTACCCGCCGTCCCCCTCCCATGCCTCAAAACTTGCAAGTTTGCCTGAAAGCACTAACTCCTTTCCCCCACTATCTTACCCCTCTTCCATTCCCTCAACCCAAATCAACTGTCGTTTTGGCGAGCTCAATCGGCTACTTAGATGCCCCAAAAGATGCCGCAAGCGTTTCCCACCGATTTGGGACAAGCACTCCTGCCGGAGTGCTTGTCCCGAGTACTGTAGAACGAGATTTCACGGCAATCGTCGATGTTTTTTGTGCAGGATATTCTTTCCAAGCTGTGAAGAGAAGCTACCGCCGACTGGTTGTGATGGTACATCTGACAACAGGCGCGAGCAGATGCCATTAGTGATCTGCACAAGCGACTTCCGTTCATGCGTCAAGTTTCCGTTGTGTAACAGTTCTTACTCGCTTCTGGAGATCGTTGAGAATGAACACGAGTGCCACAATATTTTATATGGCCAGGAAGCCTCTTTGAAGGTGTCCCGTTATGTTTCGTACAGTATGAGTCCGACAGGGGCAGAACAATTTGTTCAAAGAAGGAAAGAAGAACAAAAACTCTTGGAAGAGGCTCAGTACTTGCAGGAAGATGACAAACATCGTGAAGCTGCCCGAAATAACCACGCAAAACACAAATCTAGGCATATTTCAGACGATGAGTCAGGGATTGGAGTTAACCCAAATGTTTTCTCCAAATCTGCCAAAAGCTTTATGCACGACGACAAATAAAATGCTATGCGTGCAAGAGCCAACGTTT